GTGCACGTATATTATTTTCTCCCTCTCACTTAAAAGAGAGACAAACAAATTCAACTAGGTTTCAGTTTGTGCTGGACAACTCAAAAATAAGCAATGCCAACTGCAATAGTGGCAGCTTTATAGTTCAAGAATTCAAATATGATTGAATATTATTTCAATAATCCTTCCAATCTGTAAGTATTAATCTGTTCCTTTTTTAATATAAATGAGAAACCACACATAAACAGAGCATTCTAGATGGAGATTATGAAGACTTTGGAAAAGAATTCGCAATAAGCCAATTGATTAAATTATGTATGTATGAATGTATTAACTTGAATTGAAATTTAAAGAAAATAATGTTTTGGAAACGATAGTAGTTCTGTTTGAAAGTCATTCTATTAGGATGTCTTCAAACCTGGGCATGTCCTCTGTAAAATATTTACTTTTTGATTAGTTCAATCCTTCAGTCAGAAAATGAAGATTACATTTTGCTAGGAAAGATTCATATCTCTGGGTAGTTTTTTTTTATCTCTAGCACCCAGAACTCTTTGTTGCAACTGGAAGAAAAAGGAATTTCATATGTAAAAAAGAAAAATGAGGAGAAGTAGGCAATTAAGAAATGAACCACCTATGCTTCATTCTGCTGCTCATACTGAGCAAAAATATTCCCAACTTGTTTCCGTTGTCAGGTGCAAGTAATCAGGAACAGGAGTTGAATTCAGGAACAGGAGTTGAATTCAAAGCACTAAAGATGTATTACATGCTAAGAATCTGATCTACTAACAGTCAACCTAGATAAGGATGAATGGAATTCATGGCTGGACTTGAGTTTCTTCTGGGAGCACAGTGACTTCAAACAGATGATATGTTAGACTCCACCCTCAGGATCAGCTTACTCATATCCTACATCCAATATGCATAAATCAAACAGCAGCTGAAATAGACAGATAGTATTTTATCCCAAATTCAAAGGTGTGCAAATATATGCCTCTTCTTAGCATCCGTTCAATACACTAATTGCATGTATTATGCCTTTAAATACCTGAAATTTTATTTTAAGGAAATGCAGATCAAAACATATCCCTGGATCTCAATGTTACATATTGATCAATATTGATCAATGTTACATATTTCCTAGATTTTATCAGGTTTATTTACTGTTCAATCTGGATTTGAGGTGGGCATATCAATGTCTTTGTTTTTCTTCATTTTCATTATTTTCCCTACTTCAGATTCATTTCTATCCATTAGTTTATGAAGTCAAAGTAAAAATGTATCTTGAAAATTGATAATTTATGTTTACACTTGCTAATATACACGTTTTTGAATATAGGCTTCTTAGCATCAACATTTTCTGCAAGCAAATTTCCCTTACTGTACATAGTCTTCCTTGCACTTTTTTAGTTGCAAGCCATTTCCTAGTGTTCTGAAAAGTGCCACTTGCATTGCACCTATGCATTACAATTCATATCTATAGAAATGGGAGAGTACCAAACAATGCTAAATTGATACAGAAGATTCGTCAAATAAAGAAACTGATTAATATGAGAGGCATTAGTTTATTTTCTGCAGTGTAACTTAGCTATTTTCATTTTTATAAGTTTGTCCTCAAATCAACCTCATAATGAATAAGAAGCACTGCAATGTGCCTTTTGTTCCAACATTTCTAAAATCAGTTTAGAAAGATACTACTCTGAATTGTTTAGCTCACATTGCTTTCCCCTTAAAACAGATAAGAATCACTGCCAATGTAACATAACTTCTGCTTTATTTATGTATACACACTTAAAATTTCAAGATGTCATGATGTGAGTCACAGCTGAGAAGTGAACTATTTTTATTAAACTCTTCAATGTTTCGTATATTATGCAAATGTTATCATATGAGTTTGAAATATCCTAAATGATATATTATAGAGGCAGGAGGATCCATCTCTTTCCCAATCACTTTCTGGCCAATCATCTTCCTATCTTGTGTACATCATTCTGTGAAGGTCAGAGGTGGTTATGAGAAAATCTTCCCAATCTTAGCATCCAAGCATATGGGAGGCATTGTGAACTATTCAAGTAAAAATCACTGCTAGGTTGAAACCTGGTCTGCAGAGGGTCTCATAAAATCACACTTAGAAGCAGAAGTGGGTTCCAGCAGGCACTACTGCCAGTTCGCTCGTGTATGCACCACACACGTATACGCGGTGAAATAAAAATTGTTCTGTGCATGCTCAGAAGCGAGAAAGAAGATGGTGGCTCCTATGGTGCGACCTGGAGAACTAGTTTGGGGGCGTGGCAAGCCTCGGTCACTGCCAGTTCCAGTGACCCAGGTCACCAAACCACTACTGGTTCAGCCGAACCAGGCCGGATTAGTAGGAACCCACCACTGCTTAGAAGGCAGCAACAGTGGGTCAGGAGGGCAGTAGTTGGGCAGTTCATGACTTACAACTCAAAGTACTTCCTTCATTTTACCTAGTAGTAAGGCTAATTCCATAGCTCAGCTGACATCAAACTGTGGGATAGAACATAAGATTCCCACCTGTAGAATCATAAATTTTAGGTGCACCTTAGATTCACAATTAACAGGGTAAGATGATTGGCTTGAAGTCTTTCTCTCTCTCTCCTATCTGCCACTTGCCGAAGTTAGAGATAGTTTCTGGACCAGCTGGAAAAAGCCTCTTTGAGCTTTGCCAAGAAAGTGGTGGAGAAGCAAAGAGTCTGTTCTACAGCACAGCTTGCCAAAGCTTTCTGTGAGCCATGTTGGAGGATGTGTCTCTTGCCCCATCTGTCATTGTTTAGCAAGAGTTTGAGGGAAGCCATGCTGGAAAATTAAAATAACAACATCCTCTATGTTTGATAAGCAGTCTTTTGAAGCAACACTCATCAAAGCTTGGCTAGGGCTATTAGACAATATATAATGCCCTTTAGTCACTTCACTCTTCAATGTGATGGACATTGCTTTACAAAGTAGCTTCAGGATTACCGGTGTGTTGCATGTACTCATCAAAACAAAGCACCCCTTTAAAGACTCTCAGTCATCTGGATATGAACTGTCCCTCACTGAAATCCAGAAGGTCTTTGAATAGTGGTCCTTCTACGAAGATGGTGGCAAAAAATATAACTCCTTCAAATGTACATGCACATTTGGTGGCTTGTATATATGCAAATCTAGTTATGCAAATAGATACTTGCTTCAAAACCTTGCTTAGATCATTTTTCCCAAGGGAAATAACCCAAGTTAATTTGTAAAGAGGCAGCTTGAGAATAATGTGCATACAAAAATTAGTTTGCTCCACCACAGCTATTGCAAACAAATGAACATTTCCATAATTTATATGCACACATTTCAGCTGGTTTAAGTGACAAAAAAAAACAATAGGAAAAGGCAGGGTTAATGCTAATGCCTCCATATAACAGGAGTGCACACCTTTCTTTCAGCCAAGAGGTGCACTTTTTAATTATTTTGGTCTCACAAGGCATTCAAGGTTATACGGTGCCATCAGGTCCAGGAGGCTGGCAAATTGTGTATTCCTCTTTTCTTAAATGGCTAATGGGTAGAACACAATAAATGCCTATTAAGACTTCTGGAGGCTCAATGCATTTGCTCTGTTTTAGAGGGCAAAGTAATAATGCTTCCCTGAAGATCAGTAATATTGTAGCTAGGTTTCAAGGTGAAGATCTTTGGGTTGTCCAAGAGACACAGATTATTCACCTTTTACGGGTTTTTATAGGAAGACAAAAGGAGTTCCTGTCTCTATCACTAAAGTGGTAGTATATTTATAAATAGGTTAAATGTAACCTGGGTGCCAATCCAGCATTATATTCCCATAGTGAGAAGCAAAGGCCTCTGGGAAGGAGACATAACCCCTATATAGGTCTTCTTTGGAAAGTTATGCTCTCGCACAGTGGGGATGATGCATAGCTATTTCAATGTGACTCTGTAGCTTTATCATAAAGAAAGTGGGATTTGATTATTCAAGTTGTTCCCTATTCTGAATGATCATAAACCAAGGAATGAGGAGCCCCGGTGGTGCAGTGGTTAGAATGGTATATTGCAGGCAAACTCTACCCACAATCTAGAGTTCGATCCTGACCAGCTCAAGGTTGATTCAGACTTCCATCCTTCCAAGGTCAGTAAAATGAGGACCCAGATTGGGTGCAACATACTGACATTGCAAACCACCCAGTGAGTGCTGCAAAGCACTTCGAAGCCATATATAAGTTAAGTATTATTGCTATTGCTATTGCCATGATAAAACATCAGGACTTCAAGAGAAGGTAGGGGAGCTGAAAGCAATAAATATTGTGGTTTAGAACAGGAGTAAAACACCACCAGGCTTTTAGATGTTGCAATCCAGTTTCCAGCAGTCCATTCTTTTATTTTATTATCATTTTCCTTTTTTTTTTTTTTGCCAACAATGCAAACTAGGTTTGCCTTCATGCAAAGTTCAGGCAGGAAGTGCTAACAGACAGAAAAGCCCCTCCTTATCTCAAAAAGCATGTAGGGATTGGAAAGACGATTATCAAATATATCAAAGAATCCATAAAGAATTTTGAGAATGTTCAACAAGAACATCTAGGAAGACATCTATTCATTGAATGGAGGCCATTATACCATTCTACATATCAGAACATGAAGGAAGAGGCAACCTCCTTCCTTGGAAGAAATGGTTCTCTTGAGCCTACATAGATGTATTTGTTATCCTTTCCACCTCATCCTATTATTCAGATTGTCCCATAGTCAATAATGTTTGCAAAGTTAAGGACTTACTAACAGCTAGGGAGAGCAAAAGATGAACCAGTGCTGACCTGGATTGAGAGAAAATTATGAATCCAAACTTGAACGCTATTAGAGGAAAAATGGTTATTTGGAACAAGTGGCAAATTTTGTGAGAATCTTTGCTTACAGGAATGCACTTTTCAATTTGCATCTTAGACTGCCTCTCTTCATTTGTGGTTGACGGAAAATACTTACTACTCTAACATGTGTTGTTTTTTTTGCCACCTCCTGTTTTTCTCCTTCTCTAGGAATTTGTCTTATTTTGCTACACGTCACAGCCCCTCTGCGGTCATTTTGGACTTATGGGAAGCCAGACACCAGCACGATGGTGACTTAGACTCTCTAGCCTGTGCTCTGGAAGAAATAGGAAGGACACAATCCCAAATTTCTAACCTTACAGAAACTCAAATGGAGGAATCCAACTTCATCTACAGCAGACAAAATGGACTTTAACCGTCACTTTTCTTTCAGAGAATCAAGAGTGAGTTTGAACTGAAATGGAGTCCCTGTTAGCAGGGAAGAAGCCACATCATGCATTTGCACCACCACCCAACTTTCACTCAGTGGGTCACTTCCTCCTTCTGTCCTCAAGCCAGGTCCCCTTTGGAGGAACAGAAGAAGCTGGTAAACCACGACTATTACACAGAGACTTTTCTATGCTGGATAAAAAGGGAAAAAAAACACCCCTCCTCCTCCACCCACACACTTGCATGTACACAAATTCTATGCTTGTGTGCTAACAATCCTTCAGACACAAAGTGTGTATGAATACACAGCGCTTCAACTAAGAAAAGAAAATATGAAAATTATTGCAGATGCTTGGAATTGTCTTTGTGTAAATGTGTGTGGAGTAAGGGAGGTGTTTGAGTTGCTTGTTTTTTTCTTTGTTTGATCAACTTATAGGTTAGTTTGTAACTTGAAAATAGGCAGCATGATGTCCCTTTGATGAATATGACCATACTGGGGGCATAGGCAAGGATTTGAGGTCACTGCTGGTATCAATGGTAGAGAATGCACAGAAATATACTGCTACATTTTGGAGTTATTTTGGGGGCTTAGAGCTAAAGCAAAATGTTTCCTGCAATATATTTTTTAAGCAAATTTCTGAAGGTTTTTTCTCTTTTTTATCCATTTGATTAAAAATACTAGTTGCATAGTTTTCTTTAGAAATGTTGTCCATTTTTAGAGAATAAAGGTTATGAATGTAGACAATTTTTTTTAAAAAATCTTTTTTCTCCTTTCCTGACTTGAGAAAAACTGGGACATGGTCTCTCTTTACTATATATATATATAGTATATATATAATTGAGGAATTCAAGAGGTTGCGTGAACAGAATTCTTAAAAAATGTTACTGGTGATTCAGTTTTATTTGTGCTTATGTTATGTGGAAATCAGCAGTTTAAATCTTTTCTTATTTGGTGAAAAAGGCATCTGATGCTCTGTTTTAATCTCAAAATACGTGAGAATTTATTTCAAATTTGTCTTGGTATGCTTTTTAGATGACTTTATAATAGGAAGGCTCTATTGCAGTGGTGGGTTTCAAAAATTGTTCGAACCTACTCTGTGGGTGTGGCCTCCTTTGTGGGAGTGGCTTGCTACCCATGTGACCGGATATGAAGATGCTGATGACACTTGTCAGAACCACTTTAAATTGCCTCACACACAGCACTGGCATGCATAAGAATATAATATAAACTTGTTTTTTAAAAGGCAT